AGAAATAAAGCTACACAAATATATATATATAAGAAGATGTGGTATGAGTGCCAATGAGACAACTCTCCATCCAAGTAAAAATTTATAAAAGTAAACCATTATAGGTCACAGTACGGTCTTCAACACGGAGCCTTGGCTCACACCGAACAGTAAGCTATGAAGGGCCCCAAAAAATTACTAGTGTAAAACCATTCAAACGGGAAAACCAACGGTCTAATCTATATAAAAAACGAGAAACGAGAAACACTTATGAACCACATCAACAAACGACAACTACTGAACATCAGATTCCTGACTTAGGACAGGTGCAAACAAATGCAGCGGGTTTAAACGTTTTAATGGTACCAAACCTTCACCCTTTTTCTGAAACAATAGTGTAACATCACAACATAGAAAGACACACTATAAAATATCAACTGAAATAGCTTAACTCAATCAAAGGACATATTAACACCATTGAACATACACTGAACAAATAAATTTGACCTATGACACAATGTAAATACAAAATAATATATATCATACTAGAACACTCCCGCGACATCGCGGGTCCGTCACTGAATTAAAGTACCTATGCCTAATTTTATCCTGGATCTTTAGCATTTGTATTGTCATATTATAAAGTCATGCTGATTGTAAGATGAACACATTTTTTTGCTTTCAAAATCTTTCTGTTTGAACAAGTCCTGATTTTCTTACTACAATAAACTTCAAGTTACCATAAACTAAATTTATTTTTTAGCTACTAGTAATTAACCAAAATTAATAGTGGTATTGAGGTGGAAGAAAACAGACTTGTTCAATAGTGCCGAAACTATCGTTTAACATAGATTTAAACAACTACAGGAAGAACTCCAGGTTCTCCTGATAGAGGGAGATTTACAGTAATGGAAACTACATGTGACATATACTATTGGTATCGGTATCGGATTCGCCCTGGAACTTGTAAATTATTGGTATTATAAATTATGTGGAAAACAAAAGGGCCTGGAATGGTGTAATTTTTAAACAACACCATTTTCCTATATTAGTTATACATAAAATTGAATTCTTTGATTCGTCGTTTTTACGTCATGCCGGCTAACACATTGTACATCGTTATTTTAGTAGTATTTTATTTATATATATATACATGTATATTGAGAAGCAAGTACTAGATGATTCATGCAAGTTGCTATGGATATTGTTCTATAAAAAAATAATATTTGGAACAATGATTTACAAGTTGTCTTCAACAGTAATTTTTATCGTTGAAAAATACTTAAATCTTATAGACATACATAAGTCTCTATAGTTAAAATTCGAATTCTACAAGGTTTCATCACCCTTCGGAATTTCACCATACCTTGTCATATTTAATAAACGTAATTGCAATTTATCTTTTGACAAATAAAGCACAAAATGTTATCAAACCATCGGATATGCTCAGCAGTCTTTACCAACGACGACTTATTTAAGATCAATATTGTATCTGACGCTTCTTGTCAATGTGGAGTTCCATGAGAGGAATCAACACATTTCTTTTTCGATTGCTCCCTTTACTCAGACTTTAGAACTATCTAAATTAATAAACTGGTTTCCTGACAGCTTTGTCTTGCGTCCAGAGGTAATATGAAGTTAAACATATGACCAAAATAAAGAAATATTTAGAAATGTTTTGCTTATATCAAAGACACAAAGAGGTTTTTATAGTTTGTAATATAATACGATTGATCTGTATATGAAAAATACTAGATTGTGAAAACCAGGCACACTTAAACGTCACTTCTTATCATCCTTTTTTTTTTCTTTCTGTCTTTTCTTATTTTTCTTTATTTCCCTAAATATATATATAATGACTTACAAAATTGTAAGTACATATACATATTTCCTTTAAAATACATATTGTAATATACTGTATATACGGAGAGGATGTCCAAACATTGATTATTTTGTGTACTTTCGGCTTTTTTCGTAAATAAAATATGTTTAAACCAAAGAGTGTGAAAAATTCAGTTGAAATTGGCAATATAACTCTTTGAGAAGCTGAACAAAGAATTTTAGATAAAGTATGATATGCGAGATATTTGAAATCAGAAAAGTTATTAAGCAAATGGCTTAAAATAAGAAAGTAAATAGGTACAGAACTACACATCATTGGGGGGACGATTAAAGACTCATAACGAAAAAAGAGGAGGAAGATTACATGGATACATTTACAATGCATCAGTCGAGAGAAACTGACAACCCAATAAAATGAAAGACGACGATAAGACGAACAAGTTCACAAAACACTTCATTGAAAACTGAAGACTGATTAACACGAACTCAACCAAAACTGGGGCTGATCTCAGGTGCTCATAAAGGATAAGCAGATCCTGCTCCACTACTGGAACTCGTAATGTAAGCTTCAAATCCAATGTGACTTATTGATCTGTTGGATAGTAGTCCCATTTGAAATCATACCACATCTCTATATTTCTATATAGTACCTAAACATTCTTAATCAAGTGAATTAAATTTGAATGAAAAATATTTGCTAGAGTACAAGCGTAAAAATCAAAGGAATGTGAAATGTCAACATTTATATTTAGACAGCTAGTAGGGAAAATAACAACAGACGTAAATACGACAGTTTTCAATAAAAACATGATGCTTAATTTGTAAAAAGAGCATGTACAAACGTCCCATGGAATGTATTTCTTAATCAAAGGGTTCCCAAAATACCATAAAACACCTTTTCATACCCCATCCAGAAAAAAGATAAGAAGTATTTCCTATCCAGTCTAACCAGGGTGGTTCTACAAACAAGTACCCATCTTCTCAAATACCAACAAAAAATAAGAGACTGAATTGTCATTTGCAAACACGAGACTCCATATTCCCGAAAAGCCACTTGTAACCAATAAATAACAATAATAAGAAAGATTAAATATAATTTTGACAAAGATTTTCAAAACAAAGTAATCTGTTGAATATAATTTTATATCAATACTGTTGTCAAACAAAGAAATGATGCGACATAAAATACAATCGGAAAAGGAAGAGATATGATGAGACCCATCGTTTGGCCCTTGAAAAAAAAATAAAAATTATGTTAACTTTATTGATAAATTAACAGTTCATTATAATCTGGACATTTCAGTGCAAAAGGTCACTTGTGATATAACTATGACATCATCAACATGTTAAAATTTACAGATTTGACCAAAATGGCATTTTTTACACATAATTTTAGGACAAAATAGATAGGAGCAAATGCTTTATCAAAATAAGATATTTTACACACATTGACATGTTCATAAAATACGCTTTGAAGCAAAATATCATTTTGGGTGAAGTCTTTTCTCATATCTAATATTAGTGACAACATCTCAAAGTGTGGCTATTTCGACCGTTATTGCAGTTTTGCACGTAATGCAAGAATTTTGGAGCCTTTAACAAAATTCAAAATTATGAATCTTGATATGTGTCAGACTAATGTTTTATTGGACACCCGTAAGATGTTTTTTTGTAGATTTAATATCCTTTTTGATTTCCGAATTCAAGGGACCAAAAAGTGACCTTATCACACCTTCTTCTTAAAGGTAAGAACCACAAAATTACCAATTATAAATGGGAATTTTCTTATCATGACAAACGAGGTATGCTATGCTCGCTTGAGAAAGTTGAGTGATCTTACTCAATTGTCCCAGGGCACAGAGCTTTCTGAAAAGTCAACACTGCAAACTAATTATAAGAATGAAATAAGGTATCCTCGAAACCATAAATACAGGAAGAAAATCATATGTAACATCTGAGTGCACTTTACCAACATGGTATTTACAGCAATAAAAACCACCCAAGATCAACTTTACCTGGGAAGTTTCAACATTAGTTTAAAAACAATTATTAAAGTTTATGAACTGGAAACATACATAATATAATAAAATTTGATAGTTGAAATCAATGAAATATGACATAAAGTTAAGGATGTATTTATGTTAGACCGATGGAGTCGTTTAAATATGAAGTCGTAATTCAAAACTTGTCAGTGCTTAATAAATATTCTTTGATCACTTAAACTGTACTGTCAAAGACAAGAGCACTACCAAATATTTACAATAATCAAAACACATTTAATATTCTTGACTTCGGTTCATACAAACAATAGAAGGTCCACTAACATATAGTGAACTATTTGTTAGGAAGGACAGTATTATGAAGTTGCAATCAATTGAAGGATTCCGGTCATCACTATTTAGTTTTCAATATGACTTGAAAAACCTGATTATAATTAAGCATAATGATGAACATGGATTGATATCACGGAACCTCACTTCTCTGATCACTTATGAATATACTTCGATATAGAGGAAGAAACTAATTCTAATTGTCTGTTAAATCATATATTTAAGTTTATAATATATGTTTATAAATTTAAAAAAAACAGCCGTCATTATTGGTTTTCATTTTTTTAAAGATTAAATATGTCGGCATTTCTTAATAAGAATAGACGTGCCTTGCTTTGCCTGGAAAGATTGATATTAGTGTTATCCTCAATACAACAGATACAACAGTACGAATCTCATTGCTACCATTTCCAGGTCATTCTGAATTTTACTGATTTAAATCTAACATTTGTAACATACGACATAAATTAATCAACTTCATTCTGTCCTGATATGAAATATTTGCCACTTAAAATTAGGAACTAAAATTTAAGCAATGTTGTTGATTTGAGTTTTATCCACCGTTTGCAAATTGTTTGTAGATGCAAAAATAACCTACTGAGACACACACTTCAAACAACTTTCCGTATGATTGCCATTTAGAAAGTATAAAGGTATAATGTATATACTATTTATATAATATTGTTTATTTTTAAAATTCATTACTCATAGTTTACAAATTAATTATTTTGATTAAATGTTTCAAATAAACTTTACTATTATATTTGTAAAAGAATATATGTATTCGAAACACTATTGTGAACAGTATGTGATCATCATATCATTACAATAAAGACAAATTGGACGTACCTTTGATGAAGAAAACGGAAACAATCCTGTTAATGAAAGTACAAAACACTTAAGCACTATGAAGTATCATTCTATATTCAACAATCTACAGATTTCATTAAATATGAAAGTATCAAAGGAAAGCGTTTGGATGATAAGGTGTAATAAAGGCGTGTTTATATCTGTCAATGACGAAGCTTTAGTCGAGTATACGGAAGGTAAACTGTATTGATTTATGGAGTGATTAGGATCTGCTAACCGAACATTTAATTGCAATAATGTATATAAAGACATGCTTGTGTTTAGTTTAACGTTTGCAAAAACTATTTCACAAGAGAGGTAAGTTTAAACAAAAGCCATTTCCGCATACGATAAAATTAAAAGGATGACGGTTCACATCAGATGATTCCTGTATTCATGGTGTCGTAATATCCAAAATGCTGTCAATGACCATATTTTGATTGAGATAAATACGTTGATAACATATTACAGAATAGATGTCAGACAAATGAAGTTATCAGAATATAAACATATCAACGTTCAATATGTTTGATTACATTTATTGTGAATTACATTTGTTTGATTAGTTGTAATTAAGATATCCTTATCCAGAAATCAAATAGTTTTGTTGTTGACGTTCATTACTCTCTACAGTTTTATATTAATTTTTTTACGTTTGAGATATCAATTCTCGTGATTTCAAATGTTCCTAAAACTATTCAAATATTTATTTTTGATATTGCTGATATATTTAAAGTTTTTGAGCGATGAATGCGATATCTTAAAGTGTCAGGAAGTGGAAGAGAAAAATGAATTGGAATTTTACAGTTGGTATTTTTTTTATTATTAGAGTAGCATGTGTTCAATGATCCATCCTTTACAATAATAAATGAACTGGGTATACAATTGAACTGCTTTTATCAGGAACAAGTTTATGTTTAAAAAATAAATCGGGTTGAGGGTAAAAACTATCATTATTTACGAAACAAAGCGTTTTCGTTGTATATCCCTACCCATATATGTGGCCTTGTATACCATACGTTGAGTTTAATTTTTTTGAAAGATTTTGCCAAATTGTTTATACGTGCAGTGGCGTCTTTTCCAAGCCTAAATTTCGATTAAAATGAGCGAAAAAAGATTAAACATACAAATAGTTTTGTGTGTTACTTTTTTTATACTGACTGCCTTATCATCTCTAAACCTCTTCACAGGACAATATTTGATGAAATGAATTATCTGTTATTTTCCATATACGGGTGTAATGATGCAGAAACCGAAAGAAGAACATTTTACATATGTCAATATCTGGTGAATTATTTAAAAAAAAATATACACGCTTTACATGTATGCCGCAGTAAAAAGACCAATAACAGACAACAGTATTTTACCGATTTTCCCCCAAAAAGAGAGTCGCATAAATATATGAAAGGGAACGATACCGAGATAACTATTCTGGTATTTAAAGATTGATTAAGGACAGCGAAATCATGTCTCTTGGGAGTTGAGCCACTGACACATCGTATTGGTCAACCAATTCGTGATGGTGAGTTTAAACTTGTTTATTGTCGATTTCAGCTGCTCCTCAGCTAAACCTGCTAGAGGAGGTGTATGTTAAAAGCACGCCCCTCCCCCTCTGTAAGTGAAGTCCGTTTATGGTCAATAAGCACGCGCCTAAAACAAACAGTTCGAATGCATTATGTAAAATTTAATTGTTGGTTCTTGTAACATCTTAATTGCATCCAAAACAAAATATGTTTATACTAGTTGTTAATTTGTTAGATCTTTGATTATAATATGTGACCCGCCATGACATTTCCAGGCTAATGGAGGTACAACGTCAATGAGAGAAAAACGTTGTTACTCTCAACGTTACGTCAAATTCTTTATGAGGACATACAAGTATATTTCTGTGATATATTTAGAGTGTGGATGCTTTTTATCATCACATATGAAACATAATTAAAAGAGTTTTGCTAAAAAATGCAAAGAGACCATATTCAACAATACGAAGTCTGATTTATTTATTCTACATATTTTTCTTTTATACATTGTCTCAAAAACGGGTTTATTTTCGCTTTTTTCCCGTATTTTTTACTTTAGTATATTGAACATTGTACATCATATTTTTTGTCCAAAATGTATCAAATTGAAATAATTGTTCGATTTTAGATTACTTTAGATAATTATTAAAAAGTTTTATGTATATCTTCGTAAAAAACAATTACAATTGTTTCTTAATTAATTGTATAAACCTGGTGAAATTATATATGCAAATACTTCTTAAATACAATTAGTTATTTCTAATCGATCAACTGTTTATCTGTAGGAACTGTATAAGAAGAGAAGTTGTATTTTGCTTTTAGTTTTATACAGTGAACGTCTTTAAGCAAATTCGAATATGCCTTACTCCAGCAATTTTTAACCTGTTAGAGTACCCTTCATACTATGATTAGTGTGCATTGTTTCATTTTGAATATCGCTGTCATATATGTGGTAAAAAATAAAATATTAACAATTACTAGCGATCCATGCAATCATCAATTTACCCAAGTATCAACACTTTAAATTTATCATAGAAATAGACTTGCATGTCCCCATACAGAATTTAGACGTAACCTTGAAAGTAAACGGTTTTCTCAAATTGACGTTATACCTCCATAAGCCTGGAAATGTCATGTCGGGTCATATATATGACCACCCCGTAAGTCGTCATTTGAGATCACATGGGCACGCCCAAGCTGATATAAAAAACCTTACCATCACGATCATAGACCACAACGAGGGTTGGTCAAGGGCGACAGACATGCTCGCGAAAGTTTTTGGGTAAGAAAGTTAAGGACAGTTTTCCCAGAGGGCATTAATGAAAAACATAAAATGAGTCCCTATAATCACTTGTTTCCTGTAACTCAGGATTCAGTACAGGACTCTCACAGTTTTAAGGAATTTATTCCTCCTCCCAAACATCTATATTGAAAAAAATTACCAGCGTATTTGATGATTCGTGATAATTTGTATGACGATCAAGATTAGTATTTCAGTTCGACTACCACATGTCAAGATAAGAATCATTTGACATCTTACTGATGAAGGATATTAGTTATCCGAAATATTTGATATTTGTTCATGATTTTACTATTTTTTTGGAGATGTTGTACCCTTTTAGACTTGCATATTATATATCATATTTTGCAGTGTACTGCATATTTATATGATCCATCGCCTAGTAAGATTTATCTTTGGCTATTATTCAGACATTTATATATATATATATATAAAATATTTAAAACCTCTAGATATTAGTCAATGATCTTTCTTACGAGGGTGCTGGATCTTTACGAGTAACGATACATGTACACAATAAATAAATTATTTAAACGCCTAAAATGTGTACAAAACAACACAAATATTAAAAAAAGGCAACATTAAATGCAATTATCTATAAGTATTTCGGATAACAAATATCCTTCATCAGTATGATTATGATGTAAAATGAATCATATCAATTTATTCTGATTTAACTATACCCATCTTTAAATTTATACAATTAAAACCGAACACAACAACACTTATACAATGACGTAGGTTAGTTATATACAACAGACTGCATAGTGGAGAGTTGTCTCATTGGCAATCATACCGCATCTTCTTTTTTATATTCATAGATATGCTACTTACAAAAAATAGTAATGTGCGATATGAACTGGTACATTTCTAAAATTTCACAGGTGACGAAAGTTAAGATATTACAACAAAGACTGCGTAGAAATACATTCCCAATGAACAGCACTGACCAATTTAAGCTGTTATAATATTTCAAATTTGACGACTGTAACGTAATTACAACAGAGGCTGCGTATTTACACATCCCAAATAAATAGCAGTTTGATAATGATTTAAAAAAAAAATTGATTTTTACAAAGGTTAAGTAATTGAACGTGGCTGCGTATTTATACATCCCAAATGAATGGTACCCTGCGATTTAAACTGGAAAAATTCTAGAATTCTAGAGTAAGAACTGATAAAATTTTCTTCAGGATTCGAGGTCATCTTCAATTTTTGGAAGGTTTCGTGTTGTTCAATGAAAATAAACACCGTATGATTTGTTTGGTCCGAAGTGCTTTTCTGGATTTACCTCCAACTTAAGCATTTGAGAGCCGGAGATTTATACATATGTAGAAACATAAGCAGTCGTATGAATAAAAGGGGACATAGAAAGAATAGCCAAATTCATCTCAGGTCAGCTTTGTCTAAGGGATTTCGAACCTCATTTTTCTAATTAATTTCTTAATCCATCAATTGGCAAATTATATTAAAAGGCATGGCAATACCGAAGCATTGACTACTGAGTTGATGATACCACAGGGTACTAACAGTTAACCAGCAGTGTTATCGACCCAGTCCTACTAAATGAAAATAACATTTCCTAAATGTCGTGCGTCCTTAACATTTCAAAGCCACCTTAGAATCGTTAGGAGATTTATAACCAAAAGGGACCCAAAACTCTAGCTACCTTCATTTAAGGTCAACTTTGCATGAGGAATATGGAACCGTATTTTCTTCTTAGTTTCTTAATCTATCAACGAGAAATTTTAAGAAAAATATGCTCAAAATTATGTCAATACTGAAGTACAAACTTTAGCTTTCTGTCTAGTGTCTTCTTGACTTCTTGTAATATCTTACGACTAGAATTATTTGTTAATATCCTTAATTCTTTATAGATTGTGAGATTATGTTCGATATGATCTGACTTACAAATGAGCTACATTTATACCAAGGACAGAATTGCGGGATACAGTCCAAGTAAAGAGTTCCCATTGAGAGAATCGCTGAATTATAAACTACAAACGATATTCCAAAGCATCTTGCACAAAGGAAGACTTTTAAGGGGATTATTACTTTACACAGATAACGTACAATTATAAGGAGTTAATGAGAACAGAGCCATGGTGTTCTCCTAGATATAATTAGGGCAGAGCCGCGAGGTGTTCAAAGAAATTATAAAGAAGATACATTTGTATGTTAAATTTAATGTCTGATTTTCATCTTCATCTACCTTGCAGCTGTCGAAATAAAAATAAAAATGATATAACAAAAATTAAATTAACAAATGCATTACTTAATCTATAAAACTAAGTAGCCACATAAAAGCTTATTATTAGATGAAAAAGATTATGGACTCGATACAATATAATTTAG